GACCACGACAACGACAACGACCACCACATCGACGCCAACGTCGACGCCAGCGCCGACGCCGACGACGACGACGACGCCGCCGCCGACACCGACGACGACGACGACGACGATGACGACGACGACGACGACGACGACGACAACTACGACTACGACTACGACTACGACTGCGACGACGAAGACGGCGACGACGAGCAGAGTAGAGTTGGCGTAGAGTAGAGTATAATAGAGGTAGAGTAGGGTGGAGTAGAGTGGAGTATATTAGGGTGGGATACGGTTGGGTAGAGTAGAGTAGGGAGATGTACATCATATCAGAGCATTGCCGAGAAAGAACAGTAGATGAGTAGAGCAAACATGGAGTAGAACAGAGTTGCGCAGAGTAGGATAGAGTAGGGTAAGAGTAGAGTCGAGTGTATTAGGAGCAAAGTATAGTAGAGTAGACTATGTTGGGTTACGTCAGGGTAGAGTAGAGTAGGGTAGAGTACAGTAGGGCCCTGGTAGGACTCTGTGAGAGAGCTGAAGCGAGTCCTAGACGACGACGGCGACGCTGGCGCTGGCGCCGACGACGCCTACGACGACGACGACGACGACGACGACGAAGACGACGTCGGCGAAGACGACGAGCAGAGTATAGTAGGCGTAGGGCAGACGAAAATATGAAATTGAGCAGGGCAGAGTAGAGTCGAAAAGGGTAGGGCGGGATACGCTAGGGGAGAGTCGGGTAGAGTAGAGTAGAGTAGAGTAGAGAGATGAGTTGAGTAGAGAAGAGTAGATGAGTAGAGTAGATCAGAAATACATACACTAGAAATGAGCTTGGTAGAGTACGAAAAGGAGTAGCGTACAGTAGAGTAGGAGCAAAATAGATTGGAGCAGAGTATTTTTGGGTACGGTCCGGTAGAGTAGAGTAGAAAAGGGCAGCGTAGAGGAGGCTAGATTAGAGGAGAGTAGAGTGGAGTAAAATAGGGTAGAGTAGAGTAGGGTAGAGTACAGAAGGGCCCTGGTAGGATTCTGAGAGAGCTGAGCGAGCCCTAGAGGCCCTAGTGGCATTCCATCAGAGCCGGGCCTGGCAAGGGCGCCGGCGGTTCGCCGCCGCCGCCGCTGACGTTGTCGCCGTCGTCGGTATCGTCGAAGGCGTCGTCGTGATCGTCGCCGTCGCCGTTGCCGTCGTCGTCGCCGGGGACGGGACTTATCCTAAAAAACATCCGGCGGGCGGGGGGGAGATCCTGGATCCCCGGAATAATTGTCCCTGGGGGGGGGGAGGTCGGGGAGCCCCAGCATTTTTTTCCAAGAGGGGGGGAGGGGCTGGGGGGGGCCTGGGTTTCTGACCCCCTTAGAGAAATGTTTCAGGCCAGCGACTTTGGGATCGCACTCCGCCCAACATAGCTGACACCATATAACTTGCACAACGTAGCTCGCACCACGTAGCTCACACCGCAATGATTACATAACATAGCCTACCCCACATTAGGTTGCATAACGAACCGTCCGCCTTCGCACTGTAATAACTCATTGGTCGGGGTCCACGCTGGCTGACACTTTCGTTCGCGGCACTCCCCTGCCATGGAGCGTTTCGGGGTAGGGAAGGTTGCGAGATCTCTATACGCCTCGTTGTGTATATCTGTGTGGCTTTATTGTTGTTTCTCTCTCCCTCTCTCTCTTTCTCGTTCTCTCGTTTTCACATTATCTCTCTCTCTCTCTCTTTATCGTTCTCTCTCTCTCTCTATCGCTCGTTTTCAATCACATCTCTGTTTCTCTCTCTCTCTCTCTCGCTCTCTCTTTCTCTCTTTCTGTTTCTATCGTTGTCTCTCTCTCTCTCTCTCTTTCTCGCTCTCTCCCTCTCTCTCTAGCTCTCTCTCTCTCTCTCTGTCTCTCGTTGAATTGTTTGTTTGTTCTCTCTCTCTCTGTATATATGTGTATGTGTGTGCCATTTATGTCTCTCTCTCTCTCGTTCTCTTTATCGGTATCTCTCCCTCCCTCGATCTCTCTCTCTCTCTCTCTCTCTCTTTCTTTCCCTCGATATGTCTCTCTCTCTCTCTCTCTCTCAGTATCTTTCTCTTCCAATGGGAACTGCACGTCAGAAAGTCAGCCTGCGATTCGGCCATCCCTCGTCCACCGCTTCCTTGTTCTCATAATACCGGCATCATTTTTCTCCTCGTCATGCGCATCTTCCTCGTCCTCCTGACCCTCATCATCTACCTCGTTTTTGCCATCCTCATTCTCGTCACCCTGCGCCTCAATTTCCTCGTCATAATGGACGTCCTCCGCCTCACCGTTGTCGTCCTCTCCCTCTCCCTTCGTCTCAGACGTGCCCTGGGAGCAAATTATCGAGGCGTCATGCAGCAAGTGCCTCCTTATGTGGCCTACTCATTCGCTTCCTCCTCCGCCGCCTATTGGTGCTATTGGACAGAGTCGACAGCGCTGGTGGTATGTTTGGGGCAACGATGGCGAAATCGATTATGGTGGCCGTGACGGTGATGAAGATGATAGCGATGTTAACGGCGATGGTTTTGATGATGTTGATGTTGATGTTGATGTTGATGATGATGATGATGATGATGATGATGAAGAAGAGGAGGAGCAGGGGGAGGGTGGGGATGATGATGGTGAAGATGATGATGTCGGACAGATAGAGAGCTACACTTTGGGCGAGTGGATTAGTTTCTCTCGCGGATCCCGAAATTTGAAAATTAATTTTGGGTTATCGTTCCAAAGTTTGTTTTGCCCGCCATTCGAGGGGGGTCATCGCGTTTGTCGGATTTGCGAGGGCCTCGACGTCGCTAGCCAGAGTCGGCGTGGAATCAGAAATAACAACTCGCGATTAGGAGGCGGGGGCGGAGCGCGCATATCTTTTTAAAATCCTCGAAACATCGTCACCAGGCGAGTTGCCCTGATCACGGGGGGGGGGCAAAGAGGATGGAGGGATCCAGAACAAGGTCAGAGGTCGTAGCGACCACCAGCGCTCGTGGGACCCATGATGGGCTACAGGAGGAACCCCCAGTGCCCCCAAAACGCCCCACGGGGGCCCCAGACGCCACGACCTCCAGATCGAGACCAGATGTCGTGGCGAGCAGGTGCGCTCCTGGGACCTCCCGAGCGCCCCAGGAAGAATCCAAGACCCCGCCAAGCGCTCCAGGAGACCCCCAAGACGCTACGACCTCAGATTGCGGCTGGAGGTCGTGGAGCGCTCTTGGGGCCCCCAGGGACCTCGTTGCGTGCCCTTGGCCGCAGTTGGGTCCCTTTCGGGCATCCCTGGGACGTCCAGCCTCCGCCGCCCTGAGGGCGGCTGGGATTTCAGTGGCCCCTGCCCTCCTGACTCTGCGGGGAGGCGCGGCGACGCCCCCGACCTGTACCCTGCCACTTTCGCTAGGTGCCGGTCTATACGTGCTCGCCCCGCTCGAGACATCCAGCACGTTCAGAACTACACTTAGCCAGGCGCTAGGTGTAGTTCTGTCCGTGCTGGTTTCGCCAGGGACATCCTCACAAAACAGAGCACTCATATAACTGCACCTAGCCAGCGGGGCGGGGTACATGTCGGGGGCGCGACTCGCGCTCCCGACGTGTACCGTGCCCCGGCCGCTAAGTGTAGTTCTGTACGTGTCCCCTTTTGGCGAAGCATCGGCTGCCCGTGCTGCCCATCTCCGAGGCCATGTCCCCAGGGCCGCTCCCCGCCGACTTCCCACTTCCTCAGGCTCAGCGAAACCACCTGCATGGCCGCTGTCCTTTTCCGCCTCGCACTGCCCGCTGCCCTTCCCCGCCTCTGCCCCAGTATGATGACCCCAGTGTTTTCTGCGCTTTGGGGCGCCGCTTTGCCTCAGGCGTGATCTCCTCCCTCGTCTCGTGTCTCCGTGCCTTAGCAGCCTCTTTCATTATGTCCTTCCACTTCCACCTCATCCCCGTGTCTCGCCAAGTTTTGTAGCCGCGATCGGTTCTATGCGTGCCGTAAGTAAGTGCCTGGCCAGACGCCCCACGCCTTCGAATTCTTTTCCGTGCTGGATCCCCCCTTTCCACGGATGAAGCGGCAGTTCGCGTTATCATTTCCTGTTGCAGCAGCCGCTTAACCCCGCCGTAAAACATGCTGATAGTTGCAACGCTTGGCGCCCCACGTGTTTCGCATGACCAGCGCTCCCCGTCGTAGGTCGCGAGGCGGTGCCCGTCCACCCAGACCGACCAGCGCGCCTAACCGAATTTTGATTGCCCCCCCTGGTCCCCGCAACTGGGTGGAGTTTTGCTAAGTGTAGTTTTTGATGTGTTCGATGATGCTGGTGTTGACGATGGTGATGATGGTGATGGTAATGATGGTGATGGTGATGGTGATGATAATGCTGCTGCTGATGGTGGCGATGATAATGATGATGATGATGATGATGATGGTGATGATGATGACGATGCTGATGATGATGATGAAGTGATGCCGATGACGATGGTGCTGCAGCTGCTGCTGATGATGATGAAGTGATGCTGATGTTGTCGTTGTTGTTGTTGGTGATGATGATTATGATTATGATCACGATGATGCTGATGATGATGATATTGACGATGATGCGTATGATGATGGTGTTGTTGATGACGGTGGTGATAAGCTGGTGATGTTGCTGGTGATGACGATGATAGTGATGATGTTGATGACGATGGTAATGATGATGGTGATGATGATGAGGATGAGGATGAGGATGAGGATGAGGATGATGATCATGGTGATGGTGATGGTGATGATGATGAGGATGCGGATGATGATGATGATGATGTTGATGATGGTGATGATGATGATGATGATGATGTGTAGGATGGCGGCGATTGTGTGTGACAATGCTGACAGTTATGTTGGCACCACGCTGCCTCTGGGAGAGCAAGTAGTTGACGATACGGGTAGTCAAAGGACCTCTTCAGGGTGTCTTCGAAAGACGTATCTATATGTTGAGACGGCACCCTGGATAGGAAGTTCAGACAGACGAAACCCACGGACGGTTAGCGGTATCGCTATAGTGTCCGCCTCTGAGTCTCAGGAGCGCAAGCGCTGCAAGGAGTTCATCAATTGGCTCTTGGCGCAGCGCCGCGGCAGCGTCACAATTCCCGACGTCTCGCGCCGTCAGCCGCCTAGCAGTTTCTTCCTCGCTCATCCTTCCCCCGGGATGGAGGAAGAGGAGGAGGACGAACAACATTGAGGTAGAAAGGCGAGGAGTAAGAGGAGGAAGAGGAGGACGGATACAGAGAGAGAGAGGGAGAGAGAGAGAGAGACGAGGGGTGGAAAGGATGATGAGGAGGCAGGTGGAGGAGAGACAATGAAGGAGGATAACGAGAAGCAGGATGGCTGAGAGACGAACAACAGGAGAAGTAAGGAGAGAGGATGCATGAGAGAGGGAGGAAGAGGACGAAGAGGAGGGAGAGGAAGAGGAGGAGGTGGAGGAGGAGGAGGAGGACGAGCAAGAGGAGGAGGAGCATGAGGAGGAGGAGGAGGAGGAGGACGAGGAGGGGGGGTGAGAAGTAGATCATCTCTCGCTCTCTAGTTATTTCCGTTGTCGGCGTAATCATGATAATCCTCCCGTTTTTCCAGTCTCTTCCCTTCGATCTTCCCCTGCCCTTCCGAGCCTCATCCTCATCCGCCTCCAGGGAGGGGGGGCGCCAGAGGAGATCGCTGGAAGTATCGCGCGGGAGGAGAGGGATGTGGAGGAGGGCGAGGAGGAGGAAGATGAGGAGGAGGAGAAAGAGCAAGTGTATGGGGTGCACGACGACGAGGAGGGATGGGGATTCGAGGAGTAGGAGGAGGTTGTTGTTATTGTAGGAGGAGGAGGCGGAGGAGGAGGAGGGAAGATGGGCCAGAGGAGCAGGAGGGGGGAGACGACAAGGGGGAAGGAGGTGGAGATGGGGACACAGACAAGGGTGATGATGAGGAGGAGGAGAAGGTTGCCGAGGGATAGGCGGAGTGGAGGGGTAGGAGGAGCATGAGGATTAGGAGGCGGAAGAGGCGGACGCGGCTGGACAGGGTAGGTAAGGGAAGATGTGGCGAGGATAGGGAGGGAGGGTTAGACGGAGGGAGGGCGGAAGTAGAGAAGGAGGAACGGAGGTGTCGTGATGGAGGCGGAGCGTGGCTTTCTTCTCTTGCCATCGCTCGGACGTCCATTCCCCGTGGATGTATCGGTTTCGTGCGTGCTTGTTTTTCGCAAGATGACCCAAGATGTTTCCGATTGCCCTCGCCGATGAGAAAGCGCACACATCCGTACACACGTCCGAGCGATACCAAGCTCCTCCCTCCCTCTGCATCTCCCTCATGTGCGAGTGAGCCAGGTTTTCCTGGTGTCCTGCCCTCTCGCTGGGCCGCTCTTGAGCCAGAGCGTACGGGTGCTCTTGTTTGTTATCACGTGTTCTCTTCTGCTTATGTTTCCGTCTCGTCTCCCCTCGTCAACAGCCAGGGCCCATTTCGATCTGATCGGTCTGACTGGATGTCGCCAGCTCGATGCGATTCGATTCCGAATTCTTGGCGATCCGATGCGGCATGATGCCTGCATGGCGCTGCTGTGCATCTTGGTGCAGCCTGTCCGATTCGATTCCGCCTCCCTGCCGAAGCAGGCCGATCCGACGCACATTTCGGTTCGCCCCGATTTCCCGACCCGATGCCTGATCCTACCAGCGCGCGCTGCGCACCCCAGGCGAAGACTGCACGGAGATGCACGTCCCCGAGAACTGCAAGGGCTGGGTGACCGGGCGCCGCAGCGCGCCCGCGCGCGACGCTCCTGGCGCGGGTCTGGGCGGGTGGGAGGCAGGGATCGAAGGGGTTGCGAAGGCCTTACGGCCGGTGTTGCCGACCTTGAAGGGGACGACGACGAGGACAGGCGGAATGTTGCTTGGATCAGGGAAGCGGACGAAAACGCGGAACGAAGAGTTGGGGAAGCCGCCAGACCGAAGGTTGGGATCAGCTTGAGCAGGCCCAGGAATGAAACACACGTGCCTTCGCGGACATGTCGATCTGGGCGGTGTTGTTGTTTGAAATTTGGAGTGTTCGAGAATGGTTGTTGTTGTTGTTGTTGTTGTTGTTGTTGTTGGTGTTGTTGTTGTTGAAAACTCATTTCTAAATAATACTAAATTTTGATCTCCAGAAACGGTTCCGCGCGCTCTCGCCTCGACGCCAGCTACATTTTCTCTGAAAACGAGGCTCCCGCTCGAGCGTTGGCTTGAGCCTAAGTGTGTGTCCTTGGAGGCCCAGCTACGACAAGAACGGCTCCCGCTCGACATTTCTTTACAATTCACCCCGAGACACGTTGGCCAGAGAGGCCCTCGAACTCAGGAGCCGCGCTCTCGCGCAAGACTTCCTTGAAATTCAATCAAGTTGGCGGAGGCCCAGCCACGACGACAGGGGCTCCTGCTCGATACCTCCTCGCGACTTGCTCCGAGGGCCCCTGGCCACGAAGGCCCCCGAGCTCAGGAGCGGCGCTCTCGCTCGAGACCTTCCCGCAATTCAGGCAAGAGGGTGGAGGCCAGGACACGGCAACAAGGGCTCTCCCATTCGATAGTTCTCCATCGGTATTCCGAGGGCCCTTGGCCACAGAGGCCCCCGAACTCAGGAAAGGCGCTCTCGCTCGAGACTCCTTCGCACTCCAGTCAGTGGCCGACAGGGAAGATATTCCCACCAGAAGGGGGTGCAGTCGAAAGACGAAGTGGGCGGGTATCGAGGGTTGGGGTATACGGAATGCAAGACACGCGTGCCAGTGAGAGCGAACTGTCTTAAAATGATGTTTTTTGTTGTTGCTCTTGTTGGTGTTGATGGTGTTGGTGTCGGTGTTGGTGTTGGTGTTGCTGTTGTTGGTATTGTTGCTGTTGTTGTTGGTGGTGTTGGTGTTGGTGTTGGTGTTGTTGTTGGTGGTGTTGGATTGGTGTTGGTACTGCTGTTGTTATTGTTGTTGGTGTTGTTCTTGTTGGTGTTGGTGTTGTTATTGTTGTTGTTGTTGGTGGTGGTGGTGGTGGTGTTGGTGTTGTCGTTGTTGCTATTGGTGTTGTTGTTGCTGCTGTTGGTGTTGGTGTTGTTGCTGTTGTGGTTGCTGTTGTGTTGTTGTTTGTTGTTGTTGTTGCTGTTGGTGATGATGGTGTTGTTGTTGGTGTTGGTGTTGTTGTTGGTGTTGGTGTTGTTGTTGTTGGTGGTGTTGATGTTGGTGTTGGTGTTATTGTTGTTGTTGTTGGTGGTGGTGGTGGTGGTGTTGGTGTTGTCGTTGTTGCTATTGGTGTTGTTGTTGCTGCTGTTGGTGTTGGTGTTGTTGCTGTTGTGGTTGCTGTTGTGTTGTTGTTTGTTGTTGTTGTTGCTGTTGGTGATGATGGTGTTGTTGTTGGTGTTGGTGTTGTTGTTGGTGTTGGTGTTGTTGTTGTTGGTGGTGTTGATGTTGGTGTTGGTGTTATTGTTGTTGTTGTTGGTGGTGGTGGTGGTGGTGTTGGTGTTGTCGTTGTTGCTATTGGTGTTGTTGTTGCTGCTGTTGGTGTTGGTGTTGTTGCTGTTGTGGTTGTTGTTGTGTTGTTGTTTGTTGTTGCTGTTGCTGTTGGTGATGATGGTGTTGTTGTTGGTGTTGGTGTTGTTGTTGGTGTTGGTGTTGTTGTTGTTGGTGGTGTTGATGTTGGTGTTGGTGTTGTTGTTGGTGGTGTTGATGTTGGTGTTGGTATTGTTGTTGTTATATTGTTGTTGGTGGTGTTGGTGTTGTTGTTGTTGTTGTTGGTGGTGGTGGTGGTGGTGTTGGTGTTGTTGTTGTTGTTTTTGTTGTTGCTGCTGTTGGTGTTGGTGTTCTTGCTGTTGTGGTTGTTGTTGTGTTGTTGCTTGCTGTTGTTGTTGGTGTTGTTGCTGTTGTTGTTGATGGTGTTGGTGCTGGCGTTGGTGTTGTTGTTGGTGATATTTAGTGGTTGCTTGGTTTTGTGAATGGAGCTGTTGTTTGGCATTTAGGGGGAGTTGTTGATTAGCATTTCAAGTGTTTGACCCTCTTGGATGCTTCTCGGCACCACGGCCGGATTCCCGTCGGAGTTCTGGTGAGCCGCAACCCAGAGCATGTGTGCGGCCGATGTTTGCCCCCCCGGGTCGAGAGGGGGTGGGAAAGGTGGGGGGATCCAGGAGGAAGGTTTGAGGAGAGGGTAGGGGTCGAAGAAGGTAGGATAAGATAGGCGTTGGGGGGCGGACGACCGCACCATCAGAGGAACTCTGGCGCCTGCGGACCCGTGCGAATGATATGAAAGGCAGGGCCCTGGCAACACAGGTGCTGGCGGCCCTTCGTAGTTCCACCACGCTCTTCACTCATCGTCGTCTTATGTCTCGGTCCCTCATCCCTCTTCTACATCTCTGTGTTCTTCCTTCGCCTAGTGCCCTCCCTCATCATCCCCACTCCGCGATCCTCCTCCCCCATTCCCCATGACCCCACTCACTATTCATCCTCCCTTAGTGCTCATTCCCCTCCGCTTCCCCCTGATCCGCTGCACCACCCCACCATCCTCGTCACTGATCCTTCCTCATCCTTGCGTTCCGTTCGTACTCCTCCTCTATATCTCCCCGTCCTCCCTCGTCCCTTACCCTCATCATAAACTAGTCCCTGCACCTGCATCAGGCAGGGCGCGTTCGAGGGCCCATGTGGGCATACCCCTATGCCGGTGAGAATCGCACACTTGAGAATAAATTTTGGGGTTTTGGGAGGATGACAGCAATTTTCCCCGGAGACATCATCGAAATGCTGCTGATAGCGAACTCAGCGAATCTTCAAGCATTTGTGTTTCGCTTGATACATCTTCACGAAATTGATAATAAGGACTACTCATGGTGCTATGCCACTATGCATGGTAATGAGATCAGAGCGGCGATGCGAATATTGGGGGTGAGTAAAAAGTTCGCCCAGATTTTGCCTGCCCCCGCCTGTTGTGGCAATTTGAACCCTTGCACACCCCGTGGATAATCAGATAGACGGGGTCAAGGGGGGGATCACCTTTTTATCCGCGGCATGCTGTTAAACTCAGAGGGGGGAGGCATCGACCCCCGATCGCCCATTTATCGCCGATAAGGGCTCGATAGCCCACACCGCCCAGGAGCGTGTGGCAGATCGGGCTGCCATCGTCGATCTATCGACGATGTATCGCCGATTCCATGTCGATGTCCCCCCCCATGAGCCAGTCCCCCCCCCGAACGTTCCCCTTATCGCATGCATCGACCCCGCCTTACCCCGTGGGCGTGCCGCGATCGCGCGGGCAGCGGAGTGCCCTCGCAGCGGCAGCCACGCTGGCAGCGGGCGCAGCGCGGCCGGCCTGCGGCGCGATCGCTGAGGGCAAGGGATCGTCTTGGGCGCGAGATGCCGCTCTCCTGGAGCGGTGGGCGCCGGAGGCAGTTTTCCTTTCGGCTCTGGCAAGTTTCCTTCCATGGAGGGGGAGGTGGGGGCCTGGCGAGTCCTTGAAGGTACTCTGGAGGTCATGCAAGTCGAAACTCACGTGCACGCCATTTTGCCCCAGCATTGCCTCATGAGGCGGCGGAGGGGGGCGGGGAGCGGTGGGGTGGGTGGGGGGTGGGGGGGGAAGGCAAGTTCACTTGCTTGAACTCAATGAAAAACGCGCTCCTGGAGGGTGGCAGGTCTCACCACCCGTGGCCAGCCAGGCCAGCGACCACCTCTTCCTTGGCAGGTGCTGCGACCGCACGCCGGGGGCCGCACACCCGGGAGGGGGAGCGCGAGGGCGTCCGTCCAGAGCAGGGCGGCAGTGCCCAGAGGAGGGCAGTGCCCGGAGCAGTTCCCCCACCACAGGCCGCGCTGTGGGGAGCAGGGTTCGGGCGGAGGGAAGGGGGGCTGGAGGTTTTCATGTGTCGGCCACGCGCAGAGGGGGCGGGGTACGGGGGAGGGGGGAAGGCTGCTTAGAAGCGCCCCTGCTCCTCAGGATACGCGGGCCTTGTCTATAGATGAAGGGCCGACGCCTCCTAAGAAGCAGCCTCCTTCTAAGAAGCTTTCCGCCCTCCCCATAACCCCCCTTTGCGCGTCGCCAGATTGGGGAACAAACAATGGCATAACCATCAAAACTCTGAGATCCGCGCGGATTTCTTGGATCTTTGCTTGGCCCCCCTGGCAGCGCTTCAGCTGCCGCCCCTGGTGCGCTCCGCGCGCCAGGGAGGGGGGTCCGGCGCCGATCCAAGAAATCCGCGCGAACCTCCAAGTTCATATGTTTATGTCATTGATGGTCCCCTAACTTCAGGATCGTGCCCCGCCAGCGGGCCAAGGCGGCTTCGGAGGCGCCCCCATCCAGTGCTCTTCAGGTAGGCGTTCGCAGACGTGTGGGAGCTCTGGCCTGGGAGGCGTTCGCAGGCGTTTTTGGGCGCGGGGGAGTTTCGGGCTCGGGTGGCAGCGGCAGCTTAGGCTAAGGCCACGGCGAAATAGAGTACAGTTTTTCGGAGTGCAGCAGAACCACAAGTGGCCTAGCACTTGCCGCCGCCATTTCTGATGTGTTTCCAGCCACCCCTTAGGCAGCGCCTTGAAGCAGGCTGGTGGCCCGTGTTCAATACAGTTTCGCGACTTCAGTGGCGCCACTGTCTCTTGGCGTCAGGTCTTCGGACGCGTCGAGGGGCCATTTGCCTTGAGCGGACACGACATCCCAGCTTGGGTGAGGCGACAGCGCCTTCGCAGTGGCACATTCGCAGTGTGCGTGCGAGCCCTGGCGGTGGCCCCTGTGTCACATCCGCAACAGTTGGAGTGTGCAGGCATGTGATGCGCATGCCGTGCACACTCACGAGGGCAGGTGAAGAGTGCAAGCCTCGCTCTTGGCCGGGGCATATTCGCATTGGGCGGATAGTGCAGGCCCCATTGTGCAGGTTGTGGCACATTCGCAGGTGGAGGGTGCAGGTCAAGCGATTGGCCGTGACGCACTTCAGCCCAGGTAGAGAGCACAGGCCTGCGCTGCTGGTCGTGGCGCATTCACAGCAGGTGGAAAGCGCGAGCTGTGCTCCCGGGCCCTGGCGCATTCACGCGGGTGGGGAGAGTGCGACCCTTGCCTCAGACGTTGTTGCCGCAGCCAGTTGGGTGGCTTCAGACTGGGGCGACGTTGTGCCTCGCTCTGGGGCGCGTCGATCCCTCAGATCCGGGCGTTGCCATTTTTCCACACCAGGCGTTCTCGCCCGATGTCGGGTCCCGGGGTTCCAGCCGTGATTTCCGCAAAGTTGCAAGTTTTCGCAACGGCGGATGTCAGGGCCCAGTGCCTGCCGGGGCACCTTAGGGCGGCGACGGGGTCGGGCGGTTCGGGGATCTGTGTGAGAGATTTGGGTTAGGCGGCGCTGAATGGAGGGCGATATGTGGGAGGGTGGGGAAGAACGGTGCACGTTTCAAGCGAGGGCTGCAGAACATCGAGGGCCGCCTAACCCACTGGCCAGGGCTCGGCCTATATTTGTGCTTCGACGATCTCGTCGAGCGCTTGAAGCCGCTTGCGCTCGGGTGCCGTGCTGCAGCCGAGGCGGGACGAAGGCAGAACGGGAGGAAGCGAGAGCAAAGCGAAACACGGGAGACTCCGTCCAGGTCGAGCCTCGCTAGGGGCCCCGAGGCATGACGTTGTCCGTTCTGGCCCGGTCGGCCAGCTGGCTCCACCTTGCGCCCGCGCTCCTTTTAGGTCCTGTGGCCGAAGAGCTCTGCCCCTCAGATCCGGGCATTGCAATTTTCGGACCCCGGGACCCTCACAGATCGATCCAGCTCGATGATGGCGCCGAAAGCGTGCTGTTTGGCGATGTTGGAGCTGTTTCGCTTCGTCGGATCTCAGGGTAGCTCCTCTGGCCGAAGGGGCTTCTGCGAGGTACTCCTCTGCGCTCGTCTTGCCGAGGAGCTCTACGAGGTATGCACTGTCTGGACGTTGCCACGAGCCGGGAAGCCCCCCTCGCCCCTGGAGGAACCGCGGGAGCGAGCTGCGGCGCATGGAGCAGGAGACGCCGCCACCCTGGCAGGCAAGGAGGGCACACGGGATCGGGCGTTCGGCGATGGGGGGCGATAGTCCAGGCCTCCCAGACGGGGTCAGAGCAGACGGGGTCGGAGGATCGCGCCGCATCGCCAACGCATCACCAATGCATCGGCAACTTCGGCGGTGCATCGGCTTCGTCGGCGTGGAGAAAACTGGGCTCCACATCGAGCCGCATCGACGATGCATCGTGGGGGGGTCGGAGGTAGGGGGAATTACAGGAGAGGGGCACCAGAGGGGCCTTACAGGGGCCCCGAAGGTGTACAGAAGGTGCACCTTGCTTTCCCGCTCGCCCATGATCGGGGAAACGTAAGACTCGAGTATGCTGGAGCTCGGGTTTGCCGACGTTTTTTGACGAGCGCATCCTGGATTTTGACGGTTCAGGCTTCGTGATATGTTTGCAGGAGTTCGCGTCAAAGTTCAGATTTGGTCTCGTCATTTTTATGATGGCCCCGTCAGGACAACCCGATTCTCCCGTACCCGAGTCTTGCGTCTCCCTGACATGAGGCAACGCCGGACGGGAGGGGCAGGGCGGAGGGACGAGCGTGACCCTCGCGAGGAGAGAGAGAGAAGGAAGGGGTGGTGATTAGGGGGAGGGTGGAGCGTGAGCCGCTGCCACCCCGCGGTTACGGAGGGCACACCCGACAGGGAGGATGGCGTGGAACGAGCGCGAGTCCCCGAGATCCGCCGTTGCGCAAACCATGCGACAGGGCGAAGAATCACGACCGGTACCCCGGGACCACGCCCTTCGGCGTCGTGGTTCGAGCTGGGTCGAGCTGTGAGGGCCCCGGGGACGGAGATCGGGCGAGGACGCCCAGGGTGGCAAAATGGCAACACCCGGACCTGAGGGGGGCTCGAGGTGAAGGAAGGCGAGGGGGGGGGGGCGGGAGACAAGGAGGGCCAAGCGGCGCCAAGGATCGGTGGTCACGCCCCCCCCCCTTGGCCTCGCCCGGAGGGGGTACAGGGGCCTGGCCAGGCTCGGGGTCGGTGTATGGGCGGATGTCGAAGACGCCTGCGGCGAGAAGCACCGCCGCCCCCCTGCCTTTCGGAGGCGCCTGTGTGGCCGAACGTTGCGGCCAGAGCTCCTCTGAGCTGTCGGACTTTTTTTCGGCCGGGGCCAGGACGAGGATAAGTCCGTTCGAGGGCGTTCTGGAACGCTCTCAGAGCGTTCCTGAGAACTCTGAGAAGGGCCGCGGCGCCCGAGACAGCCTCCAGAGCCCCAGGTTCTCCGAGGTTCTCGATTGATCCTCACCCGAAGTTGCCCTCGTCCTGGTGGCCCCCCCGCCGATGTGGCAGCCTTTCGGGGAGCACGTGAGGATAAACAGAAGAAGAGGAGAGGAGGGAGAACAGTAGGAGGAAGCCTCTTGGGAGCCTCTTGGGGCACTCTTGTGGCCCCCAGGGGGGCTTCCTGGGGGCCTCTTGGAGGCCTCTTGGGGGCTTTCTTGGGCCTCTTGGGGGCCTTTGGATGCTCCTTGGAAGGCTCTTTGGCCGTCTGAGGGCGTTCCTGGCCCGTCTGACGCCGTCGGAAGCCGTCTTGCGGGCCTCTCTGGGCCGATTTGGGGCCTCCTCGGGCGCGCTTCAGGGTCATCTTGGAGACCATCTTGGGTGTCTTGGAGGGGGCCTCTGGGGCCGTCAAGGGGCCATCTCGTAGGCCTCTTGGGCGCTCGCCCTCTTGGTGGTCTCTGGGGCCGCCTTTGGCCGTCGGAAAGCCGAAAATGATCAAACGCCGAGATCCTTCATAAACCCAAAGTACACAAATGAGGTTGGCCTATTGGGGGGACTCTTGGAGCTCTCTTGGGACGTCTTGGCGGCCTCTTGGACAATCTTGAAGCCATTATGGGCCTTCTTGCGTCCATCTGTCGTGGAAGCATGTTGGAGCCATGTTGGAGGTCATCTCGGCAATCCTTAAGGTATCTTGGAGGCCATCTTGGTCATATCCTAGGCCATCTTGAAGCAATATTGCGCGAACAAGCCGACGGGATGAACGTTTTCCAGGTGGCTGGAGGCCTGCGCCGAAACCCAATTTAGAGTCCTTCTTGGAGAAGAGCCAAACATTTGCCAGATGTTTGTCACGCCTTACACGCTGTGGCAAGCCACAAGGGGCGACGGATCTAGTTCGGCCCATCCCGCCACCGTGCCTAGTAGCTCAGGGGCTTTGGGGATGCTTGTGTCGGGGGTGGACAGACCTCCTACCCTGACACGTCGATTGAGGAATTGGCCGTTTTCGGTTCGCGAGAGGGCGGTGCGGCCGTCATTTTTGCGGGTCCAGGTCCATCGGTTTCGATCCCAGGCCGTTTTCACTCAGGGGAGGTCTACTAAAGGGAGATTTGTCCACCGCCGATTGTGGGGATCTCGCTTGGGAGGCATCTCGGAAGCCTCTTGGATTCGGTTTTGGGGGTGTCTTGAGGGTCTCTCGGGAGTATCTTGAGAGCTTGAGGAGGAGGAGGAAGAGGAGGAGGAGGAGGAGGAAAAAGAGCTTGGGGCCTGATTTGGCCTCTTGGGGGCCGCCTGGAGCTCCTGGGGGGGCCTCTTGGGGACTGCTGGCGGTCTCGGGGGCCGTCCTGGGGCCAAGGGCTCGAAGTGCCGGTTCGTGTTCCCCCTCCTGGGGCCTCTCTCGGGCCCCTCTTGGGGCTCTACAGTGGAGACCCATGCCAAGAAACACCCTGCTTGCCCCCAGGGTGCTCTGGGTTTCGATGGTTTTGCGATGGAGAGCGTGACGTTCCCCGCACCAAAAGAAACAATGTACGTTCTGGGGTCTCAAGGTTGGGTTTCTTGTGGAAGGTTTCTTGTGGATTCGCCTCCACTGTATCGGGCCGTCTTGGGGCGACCATGGGGGACTCTTCGGCCTTCGTGGAGCGTCGAAAGGCGAGAACACTCAAATCCTTCAAACCGCCGACGGAACAGTGCTGGCATCTCGGGGCCCTCTTAGGGGGCCTCGTGGAGCCCTCTTGGGGCGTCTTGTTGGGGGCTCTTGGGCCATCATATTGGGGCCATCTTGGGCTCTTGGAACGATCTTTGGGCGACTCTGGACCACATCGGACAGTCGTAGGGGCCTCTCGGGGCCCGCTTGGCCCGTATTGGCGCCCTCTGGCCTCAGGGAAATCCATGGGACCGACCCAAAGAGAGCCAAGAAGATTTGGGAATTCTGGGGCTCGGCACTTAAATAATATTCACAGTGCTCAACAAAGTTGACTCGAAGGGATCTGGGGTCATTCCAACTCGTGCCTCAGGGCACGGTGGCGGATATTCTTGGGAACGCGACCATGCAGAGGAGGAGCAGGAGCATGAGGAAGAGGAGGAGGAGGAGGAGGAGGAGGAGCCGGATCCCTGTGACGGCGCTTTGGCTCTGGGGGACATGGGAGGGGGAGAGGAGGGACGAAGAGGATGAGGAGGAGGAGGAGGAGGAAGAGGGATGAGGAGGAGGAGTAGTAAAACAAGGAAACGGAAGAGGATGAGGACCAAGAGGAAGGATAAGGAGTAGGAGGAGGAGGAGGAAGAGGAGGAAGAGGCGCAGGAGGAGGAGGAGGAGGGGGAAGAGGACGAATGGGGGAGGAGATGCTCGTCGCTGGCCCCTGCAGGAGACGGGCACGTTCATGTTCATGGCTTTGGATGCGCGCGGCGAGGCGCCCTTCGCCAGTTGCCGCGCCAGCGCCATCCCCTCCTACGTCAGCCGCTAACCTCCCGTCCCCTCATTGTCCCTTCTTCCTCTTCCCGTAAGGGTCATCAATCGCTGCCGATGTATCAACCCATAATGCATTCCCCGATCTCTCATTCGCACAGCGTTGCCACTATGTTACATGTTTCCCTCTTCTGCTGATTGGAACTCTTGGGATTCGCAAATCAGTTTATCTTCTATGCTTGACCCCATCGATTGCCGCAGCTTACAGGAAACTCCTTGCATGGCGCCGCTCGTATGTACCAAACCCTGGTGTGGTCAATCCATCAGTGCTTAATCAAGTGCAGATCGAAGATCTGTTCACTTAGTCTGCTGTTTTCTAGCTGCTGCGATATTACATACTATGGAGTTCGTGGTGGCGTACATCGTGCATCATGTGATCATGTGTTGTGGTCTGGAAGCATAGTTATTTGTGTATCGGGTTTCAAGTTGATCCCATACTCGACGGATTTACGTGTTCGCCTCTTTTGTGGCGGATCGTATATTGAAGTATTGCAGTTGGTTTACACTGTTTGGTGTTTGTGGCGGATTCCATGTTGGTTTGTTCTGCGGCGCACCCTGGGACGCCAGGCGCCCGAAGTGTTTTTCGCAGTCTGGGTCAGCGAAAACATTCTCGGTGGTTGCCAGGCGGGCGACGTAGGAGATAAGTGGTTCACGTGATGGATTGAAGTGATAGACCTTCTTACACCTCAGGGTCTGGACAGTCACGGAAGCCAGACCTGGACGCAGGGCTAGATTTGGACCCCCCGATGACGATAGGAGCTCCTTATACGAGTTGTTGTTAAATCCTTTGGAATGCGTTTTCAGTGCCCCCAGCGGGAAAAAACACGACCAGGCCCCATGCCGCCGGTCAGCGCGCGCATTCCTTTGATCAGCGCGTTGTCTTCCCCACCCTGTACCAAAGTCGTCGCGCTGCCAGATGGACGAATCCTCTTCCGAAAATTCCTTCGCCCCAATGGGCGATACGGTGTCCGCGCCGACGGAAGCAGGAAGGAGTTCAAGCCGCGCTCTGCGTCACCCAGAAGGTAATGGTAAACATGTTGTGCGTTTTTGTTTATGACCCCCACCCTGATTCCCTCTCCTCCCTCCCACTCCCTTTCCTCCCCATCCCTTCCCCAGCCCGTGTCCTCCCCGCCCCCATGTTTCCCCCTGCCCCCCTTCTCCGTTCCCGCCATTGGCCCGCCCCTCCCCGCCCCCCCCCCCCCGCGAACCCGTTTCCTCCTCTCCCTCTGTTCTCCCCCCCCCGTCTGTTCACGCCTTTGGCCCGCCCCCTCCCCGCTCCCCCCGCCACACCCGCGAGGAGGGGGGGCGGAGGCCACGGCGAGAGAACGAGAGACCGAGCACGAGCAGCGGCAGGCAGCGGGAGGAGGAGCACCCAGAGCAGGAGGAGGCGGCGGAGAGCTCGAGGGAGGGAGGGCGGGTCCCCCCCTTCTTTTTACGCTGGCCATAGCTAAGCGTCGAGGTTGCTGAGTTCTTCGGGTGACCAAACGAATAAGGAAGCCGACCTGACGAGGCGCGAGCACCAATGAAGGTTGCTGCTGGTGCGGGCACGAGAGACGCCAAAAGAAATGGGTTATAAAGAAGTGCGCGCTCCCCCCTCCTCCCCCGCCTCCTCCCCTTCGGAGAAGGATGGGGGGGAGCAGTCGCCCCCCTTTCTCCCTCTCCGTCCCCTCCCCCTCCTCCTCATCCTCCTCGTCCTCCTTCTCCTCCTCCTCCTCCTCGTCGTCTTCCTCCTCCTCCTGGTTCTCCTCGTCCTCCTCCTCCGCCTCCGCCTCCTAATCATCATCATCATCATCATCATCATCATCATCATCATCATCATCATCATCATCATCATCATCATCATCATCATCATCATCGTCATCGTCATCGTCATCGTCATCGTCATCGTCATCGGCATCATCAGAATCATCATTATTATCATCATCATGAGCATCAGCATCAGCATCCTCGTCATCGTCGTCATCGCCATCACCATCATCATCATTATCATCATCAGCATTATCATCGTCATCATCGTCATCGTCATCATCATCATCATCATCATCATCATCATCACCATCATCATCATCATCATCATCATCATGCCGTGGATCTTCGGCGGCGGCTTCAATGCCGCGCCCGACGTCTTCATGGCGAAGGCGGACTAGTGGTTGGAGGCGGTGCAGGGCGTCATCGTGCAGTCGGCCGAGGGCCAGACCTGCTTCCAGGCAGCCGTGCCCACCAACCTCGACGATTTCATCGTGCACCGCAGCCTGGCGGAGTCCGTGAGGAGCTGCAGCACGGTCACCCCTGGGCCCTTCAGGCCCCACTGCGCCGTCAAGCTCGTGCTGAACGCGCGCATGGGGATCGCGCCCGTGCGGGTCCTGAGGCAGCGAAGGGCCTTCCCGAGGGAGCTGCCCATCGGCCCGCGGCGCGAGGCCGCCCCGCCGTCAGCCGACCTGCAGGCGCTGGCGGCCTCGGCGGTCTCCTCCCCAGCAGCGGTGGAGGCGGCCTACCTCGGGGCCATGCGCCAAGCCGAGGCAGAGATGTGCTGCGCCTACCACGTCGACGACCCGCTGGAGCCGCAGGCGCAGTGCGGGCGTGGCCAGGAACCCGAGGCGCGCTGGGTGTGTCCGACGTCCGACCACCCGCAGATTTCGGGCGGCCCCAAGTCAAGCGGGCAGGCGCGGCACCTCCTCGCCGTGGCCGACTACCTGGACGACGCCGCCGCGCAGCGGCGCACGCAGCGGCGCGGGCCGGCGCGGGCGGGCAGGTGCTGCGGCGCCCTCTGTGTAGACGCGTTGGCGGCCGCTGCCGTCGGCGCTGGCCACCGAAGCCCGAGCTGAGGCCACCGCGCTGGCCGCCGAGCACAGCCGACGCCGCCACGAGCGCTTCAACCGGTGGGTGTTGGAGGCGCTCGAGCACGGCGCAGGCGGACTCCACGCATGGCGGCGCGGCCCGAGCGGCTGGCAGGAGGACGAGCCGGATATGCTAGGCGCCCCGAGAGCGGGCCAGCGCGAAGTGGACGCCATCGACAGGGATTGGGCGCACGAAGTCTGGAGCATGGCCGACGGTTCGGACGGGCGGCAGGACGGCGGACGAGTGGCTGGACGCCGCCAAGTCGCTCGCGAGGCGCACGGGCCCGGGCGTCGACCGCGTCTCACCCCGAGCTTTCGCCCAGGTGTCCGCGGCCACGGCCGAGCTCTTCGCGGACGTCGGCACGGCGGCCGAGGAGCGGGGCGGCTGGCCGCTGGCGGCGCGGGCGTCGCTCATCGCGATGCGACCCAAGCCCGCGGGCGGCTGGGGGCCCATCGGGCTGCTCTCCAGCATCCCGCGGGTCTGGAACAAGCTCAGGCTGGCCGAGGCGCGGCGCTGGGAGGCCCCCCCTCCGCGGCAGTGGCGCAGGCGCCTTCAGGGGACCTGGGCGCTCGGCCCAGGAGTCCGCGCGGCGCCGGGCTTCTGTCGGGCCTGTCCTCCGACAGGGGGGCTTCGGCGAAAAATAAAAAATGCCCAAAAAAATGCCACACGCACACACAAACACACACACACACACACACACACACACACACACACACACACACACACACACACACACACACACACGCACACACACACACACACGCACACACGAAAAAACATAAAAAAAACATACAAAAAATAATAGGGGGAGATTGTTTTGAGTATTTGTTTATCATTTTTGGAATATGTTTTGGGTATGTTGTGTTCTTGGTGGCGGGCGCGCGACGCCTGCCCATCAGCGCCGCCGTGCGCCTGCTCGTGGGCAGCCCCCCCCCCCGGCGACGGCCCACGGTTGCGTCGCCCAGGCCTGCCACTGGAGACCGAGGAGACGCGGTGGAGCAGCGGCCACGGCTACGCGGCCTTGGCGGGAGCCAGCATCCTGTGCACCGGCGGCTCGGCGATCCACGGCCAGGCGGGGTCGCCCGAGGCGCGCACTGGATGGGGGCTCGCGGCGCTGCGGGCCCGCGGCGCAGCGCGCGGCGCCTGGGGCTGCGCCCCCGCCCGCTTGCCGCAGGACGCGAACGCGGGCGAGATCCACGCCGCGGCCCGCGCCCTGCGCTGGGGCCCGCCAGGCGCGGATGGCACCCTCGAGAATTAACGGGGCGGACTGCAAGCTGCTCGCGACTGGCTGCGCCGCGGGCAAGGCCTGGTGCTGCGCGCGGGGCCGCCCGCGCCTGGAGGCGCGGTGCGAGCCCTGGCAGGCCGCGGACGGCTTCGGCGGCCAGCAGCGCGCGCGGGCCACCGAGGCGAAGGGGCATGCCACGCTCCGCTCGGTCCGCGACGGCCACGCAAGGACGGGCGACTACGAGGGCAACCGCGCCGCGGACGGCTTCGCCAAGAAGGGCTAAGAGTTCCGCCCCGCGTGCGAGGCGGCGGCGAAGCGGATCGAGCAGGCCGACGCGATCGCGGTGGCGACGGCTCGCTGGTTCGGCGAGGCGCTGCAGCTGGAGGGCGCCGCCCTCGCGGCGGCCGACGGCGCGGACGCTGGCGCGGCGGGGCGCCGCGCATTGCCGCGACGGCGGGCCAGGCTGCAGACGCCGCGCCGCGCGCGGCACGGCGGGGCGGTCTCGGACGCGAACGGGACTCGCTGGCTCTACAACGCCTGCGCTGGCCGATCGGACGACGCGCCCGTCCACGGCGGGCCGCCCGGGCGGCGGGGCGGAAGCGCCGGGCCCCTGGCCCGGAGGCCGACGCGCGGCGCGGCCGCGCGCGGACCACCGCGAGCGCGGGCCGACGAAGCGCCGTGGGCGCGGGAGCCGCCGTCGCTGGCGCGATGGCAGCAGCGGCGCCGGCGGCCCAGGCTCGTGGGGGCGCCCAGCACGCCGGCGGCGACGCGGAGGAGAGCGGCGTGGCCGCGGGCGCCGAGGTCGAGAACGGCCGCCCACGTTGGTGGAACGTGAGCTTCGACGAGCCGCACCGACTCTGGACGATCGGCGAGGGGCCGCGCCGCCTCGTCCTCTGCGCGGCCTGCGGGCGCCACGCGGGCGGCGCCCGCGCGGTCTCGCTCCGCGGCCCGCGCGCGGGGGGGGCCAGCGCCCGCCAGGCCGCCGCGCTGAGGGGGGTGGGCGCCGAGCTCGGGGGCGGCCGCCCCGAACCGCTGAGCCGCCCGCGCGGCCGCTCGCGGGGGCGCGGCTCGGAGGCGGGAGACCCGAGCTGCTGAGCGTTACAGGGCGCTCTTCTCCCTCCCCCCTCCTCGGCGGGGCCCGAGGGCTCCGTGGGTGCGCGGGTTAATGTATAACGGCTGCGCCGAGCACCGCTCCCAGACCGTTATGGCCCTACCCCTTCACCATTATCGCCATCATCATCTGCATCACCAACATCATTAGCAACATCATCATCACCAGCAACATAACATCACCATCGTCAGCAGCATCCGCAGCATCATCATCAGCATCATCATCAGCATCATCATCATCAACCTCATCGTCATCATCATCAGAGTCAGCAGCAGCACCAGCATCCTCAGCATCAGCCGCATCATCATCAAATCCATCATCCGTACCAGCATCACCGCCAGCAGCAGCGTCGCAACCATCACCACCAATAGCATCATCGTCATCATCAGCAGCCTCATCATCATCATCAGCATTGCCATGTGCATCATCATCAGCAGCAGCAGCAACATCATATTCTGCAACCGAATCAGCTCCAGCACCAGCATCATGGGCAAGATGGACATCGTCGTCGCTAGCAGCAGCCTCATCATTATCATCGTCATCATGTGCACCATCATCGTCACCTGCGTCATCATCAGCAGCGGCAGCATCAGCATCATCATCGCCCATCCTCATCGTCCTCCTTATCCTCCTCCTCATCCCCCTCCACAATTACTCAATATGAAAATACTCTCCCTCTTCCCCTGATGGCGTCCGGGTGATGGCCGCGCACCCTCCGCGTTCTGTTTTTTACACACAGGATACCCGGGAAATCCCGGGAAACGACTCTCGCTGAGGCGCTAGCGTCATTTTTTCCCAAAATGCTGCTCTCGTTGAGGCGCCAGCCTCATTTCTGCTCCCGAATCGTTCCGAATCGCGCTCCCGCTGCAGCGTGGGCCTCATTTTCGGATCGGTGTTTGGCCTCCGTCGTTCAGGATGGCGTTCTCGCCCCAGCGCGGGCCTTTTTCTCGCGCGCCCATCCGCCCGCCACCACCGCGCCGCACCGCCACCACCACCACCACCACACCACCCAGCACCAGCACCACCACCACCACCACCACCACCACCACCACCACCACCACCACCATCACCACCACCACCACCACCACCACCACCACACCACCACCCACCATCACCACGACAACCACGCACACACACGCACGCACGCACGCACGCACGTGCACCACCACCCAATACGCACGCGCGCGCGGAGCCACAGGTCTGCTACGACACGCGTCCGCGGATAGAGAAAATCAGCGCCATGGTAAGGGATGGGAGGGAGGGGTAGGACGTCAGATATGACGCGAGCGCACCTAGCTTGTCCTCCCCCCTCCTCCTCCACCGCCTCCTCCTCCTCCTCCTCCTCCTCCTCCTCTTCCTCCTCCTTCCATTATCCCCCTCTCCCCCTCTTCCCCTTCTCCCCCTTCTCCCTCTCCTTTCCCTCTCCCCAGTCTACCCCTCCTCCCCTTTGGAGAGGGGGGTCCAGCCGCCCCCCCCGAGAGCCGGGGGTGCCACACTCGGGCACCGCGCCGCCCAGTGAGACGCGCGCGCGCGCCGCAGGAGCGCCTGCTCATCTTCGGCTCTGACCCGGGCACCAAGACCGAACCCAGGGGCCGCATGCCGGGGCCTCGGCTGAGCCAGCCCGGCGAGGGAGAAGGGGAGACGGATGGGGAAGGAGGGGGAGGCTTGGGAGGCGGAGGAGGAGGAGGAGGTTCGGGAGGAGGAGGAGGAGGAGGAGGAGCACCAGAAGCAGGAGCAGGAGCAGGAGCAGGAACAGGATCAGCAGCAGCAACAGCAGCAACAGCAGCAGGAGTAGGAGGACGGAGGACGGAAGACGGAAGCTGGAGGAGGCAGGAGGAGGCTGGCGGAGGCAAGAGGCAACAGGAGGAGGCTGGAGGGGGAGGCGGAGGCCGGAGGAGGAGGAGGAGGAGGAGGAGGAGGAGGAGGCAGGAGGCGCAGGAGAGGAGGAGAGGAGAGGAGGAGGAGGCGAGGGAGGAGGAGGAGGAGAGGAGGAGGAGGAGGGGAGGAGGAGGAGGGAGGAGAGGAGGGCGGGAGGAGGAGGAGGAGGAGGAGGAGGAGGAGGAGGAGGAGGAGGAGGAGGAGGCCTCAGACGGGGGCGAATTGTTCGTTTCCGAGGACTCTCGGCCGCGGCCGAGCGACGGGGGGCCTGACTCCGCCTGAGGAGCAGGACCCCGACCACGTGGACGACGTCGACGACCACTCACGCGTCGTCGGACTTGTCCATGCCGACGAGCGCCACCATGTTCAGGGAGGGGGGATGGACGGCGGGCCAGCTCGCGAAGCGGCTAGGCCCTCACCGTCTGCCGCTGCGACCCCTCCCTGCCGCCCTGGCGCCAGGGCCTCCGCCGCCGCCGGTGAGCTCGCCCTCCTCGCGCTCCGCGATGATGTGGGTCATCTGCTCGACCATGTGGCGGAGCTTCTCGACGTCGCTTACCGCACGCAGGGCAGGCCGCAGCGCTCCATCAGGCAGAAGGCGTCTCGGCGGAGCCCGTCCAGCTCCGTGCCCTCGTGCTGGCCAGCGCATCCCCTGCCCGCGCTCGTGCCCTTGCCGCCACCACGGCCCGTGCCGCGGAGCGTCCGCGCCGCACCACGGGCAGCTCGTCCGCCCAGCCGGCGGGCGGCAGCGAATCGGGAGAGCCGACGGGCACCCGCCCCAACGTCGGCCATGTGCACGACCGAGATGGCGTCCTCCGCACGCTCGCCAGACCGCGAGGACGTCGCCGCCGCCGGGGGGCTGCGGCGGGCACCTCCTGCACATCCGCGGCTGGGGAGGGAGGGACTCGGGCGGCGCTGCGAGCAAGGCGGCGCGCAGCAGGCCCTCGGCGGCTCGCGCTGCGCCTCGCGGCTCCCGCCCGTCAGCCCTGCCGCGGCGTGAGTCGCCAGGAGCGCGCGGCGCACGGCCTCCTGCGACGCCCTGCCGCGGCGGGCATCCGCCTCCCACAGCGCCTGGCATCAGACAAGGGCGGGAGCACGGGCACTTTGCGACAACGACTTAAGCCTAAATGGCACTGGAGGGGGAGGAGGAAGAGGAGGAGGAGGAGGAGGAGGAGGAGGAGGGGGTGAAGGGCAGGGGGAAGGGAGGCAGTGAAAAAGATGATGTGACACAGTATCAGCATAAGGGCGGGCAGCAGAAGGAGGAGGTGGTAGATGTGAAAGGAAGAGCAGGAGGAGGAGGGAAGGAAGAGGCAGGAGGAGAAGAAGGATGAGGAGGAGGAGAACGAGGAGCGAGCGACTAGCAGCAATAATGTTTCTAGACTGAGGATGTTGTTGGAGGTTCCTGGACATCTTGGAGGGGGAGCGGCGAGGAGGAGGAGGAGGAGGAGAAGGAGGAGGGGGAGGAGGAGGAGGAGGAGGAGGAGGAGGAGGAGGAGGAGGAGGAGGAGGGGGAGGGGGAGCACACCTGCCCGCGAATCGTGTACTGAGGATGTAAAGCCCCAGGGCCCCCCCTTCGAAAGAGGTGCTCGGC